ATAATAAGCCTTAACAAGCTTTTTATGTAATTTTGCTTTTTGTGTTATCTAGAATGAGCTATCTCAGTATTTCTAAATAAAAAATAAAACAGTATTTCTAAATATGCCCAAACAATATTCCTCATGAAATTATTAAGCATTTCTTTCAAATATCTTGGCAAGTATTTATTGCCATATTTGAAAATGGGTAAGCACAGAATATAGAATAGGACTAAAATAACAATGCTTTGTATTACATTTACTGTCTGGCAAACATCCCAGAACTCTGAACACCCGTATTAAATTAAGATGCCAGTGCCAGATGAAAAGGTTTCCTGGATAGGTTTTTATTTTTATTCTTATTATTAAAGAGCTGATAACATGCTGAGGGCAAAATACTTTTTGTAGTAAAACCTGTCTAATATCAAAGACTGGAAGGGTAGGCTAACATGTATTATTGTCAAGCCTCCCTGCTTGATCACATTTCAATGTCAGCAACCTAAAATTGTCTTACTGCTAGTGAGCAAAAAATGTAAATATCTTGGTATGACAGCAAAGATCACAGGAGGCTTGCAGATAATATTACTTTGGGGAGCAGTGTTTTACATTTAATAGCTACTCATAATAAAAGAAATCCATTTTTATCTTACCAAAATCTATTATTGGCTAGAGTACAGTAGGATCACATTTACTTTGTGCTGTGTTTATCTTTTGTTTTTTGAATTTTAGGTTTACTTAAATATTTGTGTTCATGGAGGGTTCTGGTTAACAGACTTAGAGACAGAAGTCCTGCATTTAACCTGCAGAAGTGGGAGTGTCACTGTAACCAGTCCTTCCAATACTGACCTGGCCCTGTTTTGGAAGGACTATCTCAACACGCAAGAGAATTTCAAATCCTGGATTGGCAACAAATAACGTGACCCAAAGTCCATTAAAGTCAGTGGAAAGTCATTGGATCAGACGGAATGTAGTCATTTTTTGGAAAATGTGATGTGAATTTATGTCCACTGTGACCTGATTGTGCCCATATTTGTGTCACATAAGCCATTCACATGGCCAGCTGGCAGTTATGGTCTGACACTGTTGACTTGGACTGGGTTTGCACTGCTGACGTAAAGAAAGAAAGTTCTGTATTCTATTATCAGTCCCTGAACCATCCAGTCCCCCAGAGTTCCATTAACAATCTGGAGATGTAAAGATCAAAAGAGTCTAAAATGCTTTTCAGAAAGCAACGATTCCTTTATTCAAAACAGCCTTTTATAGCTTGCATCTATAATCAGCTTCAAATGGCCCAAACGTCTGCAGGATCTGGATATTTTATGCAAAAAAAAATTAAAATATACTTCTGGAGGTACAAAGGGGACTCTGCTTTTTCATTGTTACTGTACTGCCTTGGTGAAGACTTAGAGCATGATATTGAAACTAGGAATTAGATTTCACAAAGAGGCTCTTCTGTGGGGAGCTGGCTGCATGTGCTTGCTGAGATCAGCAAGTTATAATTAGTGCTGTCTTGAGGGTATTTATCTTTCATTTTTATGCAGTACTTGAGGCAACAAAAGTAGCAGATGAATTGCTAAAATACTCTGGCCCTTATTATCCTAGTGTGATCACCAGAGACTGCTGGTATCTAAAGGCGATACAATTCAGAGTTATCTGATACTTTCTTTTTATTACAATATTTTAAAAATATCTAATTTGGACTGTGACTTTATAGGCAAAAGACTGAATGTATTTCTGAATAGTACATTGAGATCTCAAGTATCCTCAACCTTTCACTTTATTTGGAACTACCAGATTAGAATCAAGATTGTATGGGGAGCCCACATTCAACTCCCATACCATTTTTTCACACTTTTAAATAGTGCAGTCGATATGCTTTCACTAGTAGCTGTATGGATGATAGTTATTTTGGTACTGTAGTCTGTGACTGGACCCCTGTTCACATTCTACTTAAGGCGTTAACCAGGTAATCACTCCTTAAGGTTTGACCCAGCCACATGTTCAACCAATTAACGGCCTGATAAAACAAGCAATCGGCTACAAAGGTATTCCACCAAAAATATGTAAAAACTTTGTAGCGTGTTCTACTTGGGTCATGAATTGAACATGTGGCCATATGCTCCCCTGTGGCCGGGAGGCCCTTCAATTGAGAGGCCCCCAGCCATCAGGCTGCACCACCTGCTGCCAGCCTCACAGGCTCATAGTCAGGGCAGTATTCCCCATGTTGCCCCCGTTGTGAGCCTTGTCAGATGTGGTACTTGCTGTGGGGAGAACATTGCACACACACCCCCCCCCCGCCTCCCACAAGCCTCATGAGATGTGTGGCTCTTAGTGGGGGTGGCACCGGAAATGCTGCCACTATTGAGAGCCTCATCAGCTGTGGGGCGGACAGTGGGCGCTCCGGGCACTGCCCCTGCTGCAAGCCCCGCGCCTGTGGCTTATGGCGGCAGCAGAGCACTCTCCACTGTGAACCGTGCAGCTAACAGTGCTGCCCCCCCTGCAAGCCCCACAGCTCATGAGACTCACAGTAGTGGCAGCGTTTCCAGCACTGCTCCCACAGTGAGCCACACAGCCGATGTCAACTGTGAGGCTCGCAGCAGGGACAGAACCAGGAAGGCTGCCACCACTGCAAGCCCCTTCCACTTCAGGGCTCACAGCCATGGGAACTGGTGCAAGAGGAGCCCGGGATCACGGTCCCAAGCTCCCCCTGCACCAGTGATAAGGCACAATGGGATGTAACGAATGATCCCACAATCATGCCTCCTGCCATCCACGTGTGGCATGGCAGGAGGTGTGATTCTATGGATTGCATATTAGATCCCACTTCGCCTTTGCCTGCACATAGAGGGGCCTTCTGGTACTAAAATCTCTGAAGTACACTGGAATACACAGAAGTGAACAATATGTTCTGTGGTAGTTCAGGATTTGGGGTAGCAGTGTGGATCGTAGACAAAATTTTGAAGGTTGTGACAATGCTGTTTTCTTCCAGTATCTTGGCAGAGATTTGAGAGAAGCTGATGAACACCTGAGTCACATAGATGTCTGATTTCGTGGGGACCACAATAGGTGATAAGAGGGATTAGAAGAAATAATTTATATTGGAAAGGAGACTGTGCATAAGGAAAAGCCAGTTTAGTGCGGTAGGGAGGAAAGAATGGGATTTTGCCTGGCTGAGATAGGGAAAGGGGTAGTATGGTGAAATTTGATATAAAAACTGGCAAACTGATCAATCTAAAACAATAATTGCAAATGAGGAATTATCCAGTGGGAGCATTTTTTGTGGACTACAACAGGGATCTTTTGTGCTCCAGTACTATTGGATATCTTTGTCACTGATAGGGAACACATTATAAAATTATTTTTGGTTAAGTTTGCAGATGGCACAAAATTGAGTGTAAAATAACAATAAGGACAGGTGCGTCCTACAGAGCAGTCTTGATCTTATGTGAAGCTGGGCTCACATGAGCCCTATTTCAGTACATCTAACTGCTAGAAAAGTAGACCTCATAGAATATAAATCAACCTTATAGAATGAGGGGATTATATTTTGGAAAGCAGCAAGTCATGAAAAGCCCCAGGAGTCAGTTCTGAACAGCCAACTGAATAGGATCTCAAAGTGCATGTTGGTGGCTAAGGAAGCTCATGTGGTATATAAACAGGAAAACAGGATAGAATGAAAGGGTGTAACTACCACTGTGTATCACATTAGAAGGGACCTACCAAAATTGTGGTGAGACAAAAGGTTTTTCAGGGCCCACTCACCATGTGCAGAGCTGATTTTGTGTGCATTTTGTGGCAGCCCCGCCACTGATTGGTGGAGGGGCCCAGAGGAAGGAGGGGGCAGCCCCCACCTTGTCCGCTGCCCTGGCAGCCAAAATCTACCCTTCCCAGCAGCAAGGATCTCTGGCTCCCACTGGGGAGCCAGTATTTTATTTTTATTAAGGGTGGGGGGTTTTGTTGATTTCATGGATTTTGTGAACAATCTTGGATTTTGCAGTTTCCGCTAAATCCACAAAACCACGAATTAAGTAGGTCTGCACATTAGTGAGTCATCACTGGAATATGATGATGCTTGTCACATCTACCTTTCAAAAAGGATGTTGATGATTGAGCAGGGATTTGAAGTTTAGAAAATGGCTTAATATGAGCAACAAAAGATGCTCAGCTTACTTACCTTAACAAAAAGATAGTTAAATATGGGAGCATAGGAACTGGAAGGGGCCTACTGGGCCATCCTCTCAGTCCGTAGGCAACCACTTACCCAGAGTGGCCAAGAACCACCACTTCAGCCTGTCACACACAATTGCAAGGGTGACAATCACACTCCATAAGTATCTCCAAGGGGCACACAATTCTGATAGTAGTGGGATCTCTAATTTAGCAGGCAAATGCATAAGGCAAGGTCCAAAACTGGGGGCTGTAACTGCACAAATTTACATTAGAAACAAGGTACATATTTTTAACAGTGAGTGATTAACTACTGGAACAGGTTCCCTAAGGATGTAGCAGATTCACCGTCACTAGAAGTTTTTGCATTTAAGTACTGGGTATTTTTTCTAAAAAATGCTTTCTGCAGAAGTTATGGCTTTGATGCAGGGATCATTAGTGAACTTCTGAGGCTTGGGTAGACTGGATGATGATCATGGTCCTCTCGTGCCTTAATAATACCAATACAACAAGCTCCGGCCCAGATTTTCAAAGGTGACTCATTATTTTGGGTGTCTAACATGGATGCTTGATAGGAATCTGATTTTTGCAACTTGACCTCTCCATCTGAAAATCTAAGCCTCTGAGTAGAATCCCAGTGTCTAAGTTACTGTTATCCAAAATCACATAGGTTCATTGATCCTTAGTTTTTATCTAATTAATCCTTTGGGTTCTATATGTATTTTGTTCCCTAAATTAATTCAGTCTTTAACACTTTTTTCTCCTTATTCTCTTGTTTTAGGCTGCATTAGTTTTGCAACATTTTGCCCAAACTGCTATCTAGAGACATGTACATTTTTTTTTCTTTTTTCCAGGTGGCAGGATACTGGGAATTCCAGCACAGATTTTGAAGAGCTCACCAACAGATCAGCAAATTAACAAACTCGCAGGGAAACTGGGACCTGAGTGGGAACACATTGTACTGTCTTTGGGTTTGTCACAAAATGACATATACCGATGTAAAGTCAATCACCCTCACAATGTTCAGTCACAGATTGTGGCTGCATTTGTCCTTTGGAGGCAACGTTTTGGGAACAAAGCAACAATCCAGACTTTGTACACCAGCCTGACAGTTGGAGAAGTGGATCCCTCTGTAATCCAGTATATGCTTGACTGATATCTTATGATTGATTAGTGCCTTTTGAGCCCTCACTAAGAATATAGACAGACATGGCAATTGCAGCAATATCAAAGAATACCAATACAAACAACTGTTACATCTGCACCATTCTGTAATGACACAAGTCAGCAAAAATGCTTCAGCTGTAACCCTTCTTCATTCATGAGGAAAGCTGAGTGATTAAGTTAACTTGTACTTCAGGATCATGCAGTAACATCATAACAGTAACAGCATAACAGCTGATGCATGCCTCTGAGCAGCAATTCCCCGTCTTCTTTTAAAGCAGCTAAAATATACATTTATGCATACCCATTACTAAATAAACTGGATTTACTGAATCGTATGTCAAAGTTCTGATGTCTGGAAATATCAGCTGAGCAATTTGATCATTCTGTGAGTCTACTAATCCTTGTAGGTTCCAGCCTTCTGGGAAATCTTTTGACTTTTATTACTATTATATACATCTCAGATCAAATTTTAACAAATATTAAGAAATTATCATTCTTTTTATTCACTCTTGTGCTTCTTCCAAGTAGGATGTCATCAAGTAGATGCTGCAACTTCAAGTTTTGTGGAGTCCTTCCAAGCAGTGGATCACATCCTGAGGTATAAAGCTAATATTAATGACTAAGTCCTGCCTGTTCAATGCCTCTCGCTATTGCTGTTTTAAGAAAACTCTTTAGGATGTAGAATTATTTCAGGGATAAGTTGTTATCACGTTAAGTGTAGGTCAGGCAGGGTGAACTTTGTAAGAAGTAACAAGGGGTAGCTTATAGTCTCTTTTCATCTCCTTATCAATCAGCTGTAAAAATGTCATAGGGATCAATCAGGTTTTATCCTACAATGGGTTTCCTCTTCCATTCCTAGCTACAGGCATTTCTTTCTGCCCTCAGGAATCATTATGCCTCTGCCCCATTAGGTATCAGTTGTTTCTAGGGGCAATGAGAATGAGCAGTGAAATCATAAACTAGTGATGCAAAGCAGAATACATTTTCACTCCTGTGCAAATTAGCTTCAAGGGAAGAACCACACCCAAAGATGCTACAACCACACCCCTGAGGAATAAAGTTAGGCTTCCAAATGACAAGTCAGTAGTCGGTTTCCCCCAAAGAGCCAATGCTGATGACGCTCAGCCTCCAGATTCTGTTTCATATATTTAAGCACCCTTGTGGTTTGATCAGATTTAGAGCAAGAGGTTTTTCTCTTCTATACCCCTAATTCTCAGAACTTTAAGGAAAATTAGCATTCTTCAGAGCACCTTGGTTACCCAGCTGGGCATTTTTTTCTGAACTCTAGGAGCTTAACAGCGTTTCCTTATAGGATCAGATCTTTCCAGTCCAGAAACAATTTGCTGTTATGTTATTTTTAGTCTTCCATAATACAGTGCTGACATTCAGTAATTCATGATCCTGCTATACCTCACTCAAATCTTAATTAATTGTATTGTCTTATGTTTACTGAGAGTGTAATTCTATTATGAAGTTCTAAGTAAAAAAATGTAAATCATTTTGGACATTGTATTTCTTTATTTTGCTGTTTCAGGCTTCTTTATACCAGTATATTCTTTCTGTTTGCAACCAATCTTAGTGCTATTTATGCATATGTGGTTCTGTGAGTTTAAAATTCATGTGCTACTTGAGTCAAGTGTGGCCTGGAGGAAGGAAGTGCAACTGCTTAAAGCATGGGCGACTGGTGCCACCTTAGTCACATGCTCTCTCCCCCCAGTGACCAGTCAGCTACCAGAGGGGGGTCCTCCCACAGTTGATCACGCTGACCAGGGGGAGGATCCTTTGTGGCAAAACGTGCCGACCGGTGAGCACTTGTGCTGCTCCTGAAAGTGGCCACAGCTATAAGCGGTCTACACCCTGCGCTCGCACTCCCTGACTGGCTCTTGCAAGGGGGGCACCAGCGCTCCCATCTGTCTCCCCTGTCTGTCACCTGAGCAAGGAGTGCAGTCTGACAGGGGGTGCACTGGCACTCTCAGGGGCTGCACATGCACCCCTGTGCACCTTCTATGCGTCGCCACTGGCTACGCATTACCACTGGGCCAGTCTCAGCAGTTATATAAACAGTGGAGTGAGCCACATGCCTAGTTTAAGGGGCAAAGCACAGCAGCTTGTACCAGCTTGAATGTGGAAGGTGTTCGGAGTGAAGGAAACTTACAGATGGAAGAAGTTATTAACAAGAGCATGATTTAAAAAAAACCTTCTTATGCAGATGCATATATGGGCATCAACTAATCCCATCCCAGCATTCTCAGGGCCTAGGTGAAGTCCCACTATAGTTTGGGACCTGTAGTAATAAGTTGTGCCCACTTATCGCAGCCTGACTTTGGTTCTCAGGGAATACAAAATCACAACAAGTAGCAAAATAATATAGTGCCCCCCCCACCCTCCTTTTAGTGTCGTTATTGAATTTGGGCTCCTGAGTCACTGTGGAATTAATTATAAGGAAAACATCAACATCATTGTATTAGTAATGATTTTTGTAACCAATGGGCACTGGAAGAAACGGGGTCAAGTTATCTCCTAACTGCCTGGGGTACAGCTGTATCTTTTGTAAAACAGTTGGTGTTGACCACTGCTAGAAATGGTGTTGGGTTACTGGTTGGATTCAGTATAATTCCTGTTCAGTCTTTAATAACTATCTCCTTACTTGTTTTACAGACAAGGAGCTAAATCTTTCTGTTTAATACTTGGAAAGTTGATTAAATAAATGACAAGAGTTACGTTTTATGAAACAGACAAATCAGAATAACAACAATTACAAAAAATTATGATGTGCTTTTCTCCCTGTTGTCTGAAGGCTATTAAGTGTGGGATAATGCTTCTTATTTCAGAGGTTCATCACTTTAATGTATGCACTGAACCAGATGCCAAAGCTATAATGATTATGAACTAGGTTGATTGTTATTATTTTCAGGCTGCCATAAAAACATTATCATTATTTTATATGATCATCTTTTTGCTTTGTAGGCGGGGTATGTCTGCATCTGTGATTTTTAAAACCAATAGCTTAAAGTCAAGGTGTTAGGTGCGCATTTAAGCTCCTAAAACAACAGCCTAATTTTTAGCAGCTCTGAGAACAACGACTCCCACTGAACTCCCTAGCTGATGCTTCATATGTAGTACATTTACAAATTAGTACTCTTGTTTTGGAGCCTAACCTTTAATCACTTCTTTTTGACAATCCTTTATATAATGACAAAGCAATAAGTACAGGCAGTCCTTGACTTACAATGTTTCAAGTTACGTTTCGCACTTAGAACGTTTATAAATTGAAACCCTGTTTCGACTTTCTGACATCAGTTTTGACTTCTCATCGCTTGATCCAATGCGACACCATGCCAGCAGACAAGTGTGCCGCATCTCCCATCTCCCTGGAAAACATCTGTCCAAACTTCCTTGGACAGTTTCTTTAAGAAAGCAGACAAGACTCCAGAAAAACCTGCAGCCAGGATTCCTGAGAAGACTCCAGCCAGGAACCCTTCAAAAAGTCCAGCAAAGTCACCTCAAAGAAGTCCTTCCAAATTGATATGATTGCTATTTACAATATAAGTACATTAATGTAGCTATATTACTCATCTACAATTAATTGAGTACAAAATTCTGGGTTATTTTTGGTGCAAATAGGGTATTGGGCCTTGGGTCAGAAACCAAACCCCCATTTATAACATTGTTTCCTATGGGAAAATTGGTTCCGAGTTACAACATTTTAACTTTAGACTCAGTTTTCAGGAACCAATTGTGTCATAAGTCTGAGGACTGCTGTAGTTATCTTGAGCAGATTGGTTTGTTTACAAAGTTGGTGTGCTTTATTGTTGTCAACCATCACAGGAGCTGACTGAAAGTAAACTACTAACTGGTGCTGTAAAATAAGGTGGGGAGATCTAGAGTGACTCTTGCAGTCTCTGTCACTAATTATTTTGTTGCTAACTACATGTAATGGAACCATCCAGCTACTTCTGGGAGACTTTGGACTCACGAACAGAGCTTAAATACAAAGCTGTTTGGCCTCATTACTGAGAGACTATAGATTCAAGTAAAATACCCATCGGCCATCCCTCTTTCAATTGTTATGTATTGATTTTCATACATTCATAGAAGTTTGGGTCGGAAAGGACATCAGCAGATCATCGAGTCTGACCCCTGTCCCTGGGCAGGAACGAGCGCTGGGCTCAGACAACCCCAGCCAGGTGCATATCTAGTCTCCTCTTAAAGACCCCCAAGGTAGGGGAGAGCACCACTTCCCTTGGAAGCCCATTCCAGATTCTGGCAACCCTTACCGTAAAGAAGTTCTTCCTCATGTCTAATCTAAATCTGCTGTCTGTTAGTTTCTGGCCGTTGTTCCTGGTGACTCCAAGGGATGCACTGGTAAACACAGCATCACCTATTCCTTGCTGCCTTCCCCTGATGTATTTGTAGGCAGCCACAAGATCACCTGTCAGCCTTCTCTTGCGGAGGCTGAAGAGATCTAGGGCCCTCAGTTTCTCCTTGTAGGACCTTACTTGTGGCCCCTAACCATATGAGTGGCCCTCCTCTGAACACTCTCAAGGTTGTCCACATCCCTCTTGAAGTGCGGTGCCCAAAACTGGACGCAGTACTCCAACTGCAGCCTGCCCAGTGCCATAGAGGGGAAGTATCACCTCCCTGGACCTGTTTGTCATGCACCTGCTAATACATGATAAAGTGTGTTTAACTTTACTGATCACTTTGTCATATCGATGACTCACATTCATCTTGGTGTCAACAAATGACTCCGAGATCCTTTTCCACCGCTGTGCTGCTGAGAAGGTCCTCCCCTAGCCTGTAAGCATGCTGGTAATTCCTTCTCCGTAGGTGCAGCCCCTTGCACTTGTCCTTGTTGAACTGTATCCTATTCTGTTCCGCCCACTTTTCCAACCTGTCCAGATCCGCCTGGATTCATTCTGTACCCTCTAGTGTGTTAACTTTACCTCAAAATTTGGTATCATCTGCAAATTTGTACAGAGGGCTTTCCATGCCCTCCTCCAAGTCACTGATGAAGACATTGAACAGCACAGATCCAAGGACCGAGCCCTGTGGGACTCCACAGCCCACATCTTTCCAGGTTCATACTGACCCGTCTCTCATCACTCTCTGGGTGCGATCCCTAACGCCAATTTGCCACTCACCTGACAGTATAATCATCTATGTCACAGCCGCTCAGTTTATCTGTGAGAATAAGATGAGATACTGTATCAAAGGCTTGCTTAAAATCCAAATAGATTACATCTACCTTGATTCCTGCATCTAAGCATTTTGTGACCTGGTCATAAAAGGAAACAAGGTTAGTCAGGCAGGATCTACCTGCTGTGAATCCATGCTGGTTGCCCTTCAGCATTGTTTTTTTCCCACTGGACTCCCACAAATGTGATCCTTAATAACTTTTTCAAAGGTTTTCCCAAGGATAGAGGTGAAACTAACCAGTCTATAGTTACCCAGATCCTCCTTTCTCCCCTTCTTGAAAATAGGGAACACATTGGCCCTTTGCCAGTCCCCTGGGACCTGACCTGAGCACCAAGAGCACTCAAACAGCCGCGCCGGTGGTTCTGCTATAATGCTGGTCAATTCCTTCAGCACCTTTGGATGAAGATCTTCCGTGCCTGCTGACTTAAACACATCCAGCCCCTCCAAGTGTCCCTTCACTAACTGCTAACAGTTGGTGGGCTGGTTTCCCTTTTGTGCCTGTCTATGGTCCAGTTGAGAGATCTGTCCCGATCTGTCCTGATCTTGGGTCCCCTGAGCCCTGTCCTGATCTGTGTTCAGGAATACAGAGGCAAAACTCATTGAAGAGCTCAGCCTTGTCCCCACTATCTGTCACTAATTGCCCTGTGTTAACCTGTGCCTTCTTTTTACTCCCTATATACCTGAAGAAGGACTTTTTGTCTTTAATTTTTGTTGACAGCCTAAGTTCCATTTCTGCTTTGGCCTTTCTGACTGCCTCCCTGCAAGTGTGGGTCAAGTAGGTGTATTCTGCCTTGGTAGCTACCCCTTGCTTCCACAGCCTACATGCCTCTTTTTTTGCCCCTAGTCTTTTCTGGATTTCCCTTTTCAGCCAGGCGAGTTTCTTGGTCCTTTTGCCCTCTTTCCTGCGCAATGGGATTGTCTCCTTCTGCACCTGTACGATTGCTTCCTTTAGGAACGACCACCCTTCCTGGACTTCCATCTCACCAATGCTCCTGTTCTTCAGTGCCTTACTAACTAATCTCCTGAGCACACTGAAGTTAGCCCTCTGGAAGTCTAGCACTTCTGCTCTACTGGTTATCTTTCCCACCCTATGCCAGATGGCCACTGTCCCCTGGGTTACCTTGTGTCAGCAGATCCCCCACCAAGTCATCCCCTGTAGCCAGCACCAAGTCCACTAAGCAATTTCCCCTAGTGGGATTTGTAATATGTTAGCATGTAGGACCTGTAGTCTTGTATTCAAGGCTTCATTGAATACAAGCCTTGAATACAAGACTTGGTGCCGTGTAAGTACGGCTGTCCC